CGCACCTGGGTTCGCCGGCATTTCGCGGTGGATCAAATACTTATTAATTGGCATTTTTCTCGGAATTTCAGAGCATGTGCCACGTGCCACTTTTGCCACGTGCCATTGCCACGTGCACCACGCACGTGTACATTTCTTAGAAAAATTAATTATCTATCGTCTTCGAGTGCGACCGATCCCGCAGACAGCTAGCCGGAGCGCAGGGCAAGCAAGCTCGCCCTCGCCCGGGTTCTCACCTCTCCCGAGCGGAGTGGCCCTCGGTGTTTTGGTGAGCACCACCACTCCCGGGCGGATTGGTTACCCCCGGTGCTACGATGGTGTTTTTCATGCCGAGACACTCATGGTGTTCGACGAATACGGCCACAGGTTTCCCCGTGCACGTAGGGCTTCGAGGCATGGAAACTCGCCATGCCTGCTGCTTTTGACCAGTCGTCCCCGAAAACCCCGCTAAATTCATTAAATCTTATGTTTATCTTTAAGTTCTCATCCCATGCTCTGAAATGCCTCAATTGGCCAGTTCTATCCGTAACAATTACTTTCTCTTACATTATCATTTTATTCGATTTTTATACTCTTTTGGCTTATCTTTTTAATTAAAATAATTATTTGTTTCAATATACTTAATTGTACGTAATTTTTGTATATTTTATAATACTACAGAATTGAAATATTAATAAACAAATAATAATTAAATGTCAAATCATGGAAACAAAATTTGATATAAGTAATAAGTAATCATATAATTTTCAATAAAGATAACTTACATCTTAATTTACATCTTACACAATTTTTTTTTATTTTTTATGATGCATGGTTAGTTTATATAAATTTGATTATTTAGAATACTGTAATATAGAAATGTTAATGAATGAATTATAATTAAATGTCAAATCGTGCATGTATATCTACTTACAGATATTCCAGATAACAGAGAAGTAGCGAATGAAAATATTATTTAATAATTTGAGAACAGTGATTACAATGTCATCCTAGCGGTATGTGAAATTTATGTGCATACATTTTATATGGCAAAGGTTCTGAATTTGATTTTTCGATAAGGATGAAAAGGAGGAAAAGGATAACATTAATGTCGGTAACAACGAGGATGACGGGGACGTTGATGAGATTCGTTTTCGAT